AAAAAACTTAATTAAATTTCAGATTTCTGCTCCATTTTTTTTGCTATAAAATGCTTTTGTATTTTAATTGAGCAATATGCGTCTGTGAGCTAAAAAATTCTAATTTAATCCATAAAATTAAATGATTTAATCAAAAACTTTTTTGTTCATTATAAATAGTAGCAAATTTTATTGTTTTTAAATTTTTAAGTATTTTTCAAACTTTTTTTAACTTAAGTCAAAAATCATGTAAATTTGCTAAAATAATTTTTTTAAATCGATTATTTAAATTTTATTTTAGCAATTTAAACCAAATGTCATTATTGGAATTAATAAAATTTATCTGTTCTAATTTATACTTGAATTGAGGGAAAAAAATTTAACGATTCTTTTTACACAAAGTTCAAAAAAATGTTTTTATGAGGAAAAAACATAATCTATTTTCTCTTTTTATCTCTCTGTTTTCTCTCTCTCTCCCTTCTTTCTATAATTCGTTGATTTTCTATAGCAGAATTCATTTCATCATGTTGATGACAAAATGATTTTTCACTGAACAATTCTTTTCAACTTTGTTTTCCCATTATTTTTATCCAATTATTTAATAAGCATTAATTTGAAATGAATATTTGATAGCTTTAAGCTAAGCTTTTTTTGTGTTAAATCAAAAAAAAAAAACAAACTGAATATTTTACTAAAAATATTTTTTTCTTTCTACTAACTATTTATAAATTATTTGTGAATAAAAAGAAAATTAGACGGATATAGAAACAATTCGGCTAAAGTTTTTTCGAATTTAAAATTCGTAACAATCTTAACTTTCTTTTAATCAATATTTCAAAATTACTGCAACAGGGAGAGAAAGTCAGCAAAGTTCAAAGAAATCTATCATTTTTTTTTTCTCGAGAACAATTAAACAGAGATCAGAACTTTTTGTTTTTCTCTTTTTGCGGCGGTTGAAATTTTCATTGCTTATTCATTAAGCTTGCTGAACATTCATTCAGGATGACTGTCAAAAATTTACATAATAAACAATTTGATGTCGAATGGATTTATTGGTATAAATTGATGCAAAGAAAAAAAAATCGGTTTTATTTTTGCATTGATTGTGAGATTATTAACTGACTGATTGGTTTAAAATATCTTCTAACCAAAGTGTTTTTTCATTACCATTAATGCTTTTTAAAATGTTCATAAAATGATTGTAAGCATTTTGTGACATTCTAAAAATTTCTCATTTAAAAAAATTAGTTTATTTTTTTCATTGTTTCAAAAAAATTAGTCAATCAATATTTTAGATCAAAATGGTAAAGAGGAAAATTCGTTTTACTACAAAAAGGCATATTTTCAAAGATCTCTGTCAATTATGGCGTACTGCGATTACTTTAACAAATAACAACAGAAAGGTAAGATGAAAATTGATTAAAAAAATTGCAAATTTTCATAAACCTTTTTGTTATCTGAAATGATCTATCCTAAGAGTTGCGCTTAATAAATTGAATAGTTTTGCGATTTAATTTGTTAATTAATTAATTACCCAATAATTTGTTTATCTATCCGAACTGTTCTGTTTGCCTCAATTAATCTGATTGAAGATTCAAAAAAAATTTATTAATTACTATCTTTAACAAATTCTTTGCTTTATTATTTTTCTTTCGTTTAATTTTATCCGATAAAGAATATTTCAAGTTCATTAAACTTTGGCACAATTAATTCTTTACTGTTCCCTTTTTCTAAAATTTACAAAGACTATACAAATTTTGTTTTTAAAAAAAACTATCCCAAAATTTTTGTAATTTTTTGACAATACGTTATTGATTACGACAATAATAATACTATTACGTAGGGCGATCAATTTGACCTGTAATCCTTTTGATTGTTGGAAAATGATCAATTAAGATATATAGCGTAGCTTTGTATCAAATTGATTTATCAGATAATTTAACCTTTCAGACTTCAACTTGTCTTAAGTCCATCTATCATTATAAAAGGTAAAAAAAATTAAATCATTTAAATCATAATTCAATTAATCATACTCTGCTTGACTAATTAAATCATGATATAAATGATTTAGAAAGCTTAAGTTTATCTCTGTCCGATCCAAAGTGCTTTAAATAAGTAAATGTCAGATGACTTAGATTAGCATAGACAAATTTTATGAACAAATAATAAGTTTTTAAAATTTTAATATGCAGTTTTTGATTGGACCATAAATCATTTAATTTTTTGGATGATTATTTTGACAAACTATTCAAATAAAGGAAATGGAATTTTTCATATGTCAAAAAAAAGGGAAAAAATGTGAATAACAACTATTTCTTCTGACGCATCTATTTTTTATATGGCAAAAATTTTAAGGAAATATTGACTGGAATATAATTTATTATATTCCAGTCAATATTTCCTTGAAATTTTTAAAAAAAGAGACAAAAAACAACTGAGAAATTTTTTGCTGAATTCTGGAAGAAATTAAAAGACAAAAATTCATTTTACCTATTTTTTCGGATGAGGGAAACAAATGAGTGCAACAATGTTGCTAAAATCTGCAAGCAATACATTTTCGGATTAAAATTTTATCAAAATTCAATTATTTAATGACTTTCAAACTAAACTAATTTATATTCAGTCATAAAAGTTCAACTATGGGTGTTTAGACTTATCACATCAGCCATTTTTAGCTGTAATCAAGAAAATCCAAATGATGAAACAATAAATTCGGCATAACCCTCTGCATTTCACTTGCTGTATAATTGTATAATAAAGTAATAATTCTGATTGCGCATCATTCATTACACGTAATCATAATTATTTTGAACAATTCAAATTGATAACTCTGTCACATTCATTTGATAATTCTGTCACATTCATTCCTCAAGAAATATCGCTTCAGCCTCACGGAAAAATTGATTAATGTTATAATTTTCCATTCATTTTTTTTTTTAAATTGAATAAGTCGAGATAAGCATGAAATTTAACATTTGAAATCAGACTCAAACATTTAGAATCGCTAATTTTGAATTAATTACACGGGAAAATAAAATATTAAAAAATTTATTTCTAGAAATTGCTCAGATTGTTGCTTAATGCAAAGATAGACGTTGCAAATGAATCAATCTTCAAATCAAACTTTTCAAAAGCAATTTCATTTGATGACACATTATTGTCCAACACATCCTTTGTATGTTTTCCTTTTTTATTCACGAAAAAAAAAAAAGGCAAGCATTTGTTATTTAGAAATGAATGCATGCATGCTTACAGTGAAATGAAGTTCCTATTCATTTCATACTAATCATTCATTTGAAACTGAAATAGTCTAATTTTTGTCAAAAAATCTAATTTTATCAGAAATTTGCGCATTTCATTTAAAGTTTTATTTATTTTCATTTTTTCGAACTCTTTTAAGATTCTTTTAAAAATTCTCCTTTTTTATTTTATTTAATTAGGTAAATTTATCTCATATTCAACAAAATATTTAAATTTTATAATTATTAGTGCAATTTTTTTTTTCTTTTTCGAAATTATATTGGCTTACTTTTTTCCAAATGAGGCAGTTAGTATTTGATTTCATTATTCAATCTATCGAATCATTTCGTTGAGATAATAAAACTGAGCGATATTTGAACAGTTTCTCATATTACTCATTAATATTATTTATTAATGTATGCAAATTTTTGAGTTCTTTTCAAGTGTTAGAATTTTTATCATTAAAATTCTCAACATAATCGCATGAGGTTTTTTCTTGCTGAAAGATCAACGATAAGACAAATTTGATAAAGGAAATCTATTGATAGTTTAGCATTTGTCAGTTCAATTTAAACAACTGTTGCTGGAAGCTTCCAATCGGTTAGCAATTTGATTGATGGCATATAAATTAATAGGATGTCTTGATGGTAGCTCGATCATACTTCAGTTATGCTAAAATTTATAAAGTTTAAATAGATTAAAATGAATGATATTAGCCATCTACTAATTTCATTTCTCTGTTGCTACTATGCGTCAAAAATTGAACAAATTTTTTGTCTTAATTTTCAAAAAAGAGATAGAAATCTTAAGTTCACAAAATTTTCCGTATTTATAAATTTGAAATTTCAGCGTAAATTCAACTTTTTTGCTCTTTTTTCTTATTCAATGCCTTGAACTTTAATCACTGAAAAATGAAATGAATGTGACGAAATGCATTTTTAATTTTATTTTATTACTACTTGTTTAATTTTTTCATTAACTTTCTCCCCCGAATGATCCTCTCCCCGC